TGGTAAGATTCTTGAAATAAGAAAAAATTGAGTCAAATCAAGTATTTTAAGAATCTTACCAAGTAAAAATTTCTTACTCTATTGGCAGAAATTTTTGACTTAATTTGAGTCAAATTTTCAGGCTAACAAGACAAATAATCTCACACATTCTGAAAACAAGATTATTATTCTTACACAATCTTCTCTTGTTTAGTAAATCAGTCTCAAAACAAGATCAAAAGACTTTTTGGCTGGATATAAGATTTTAAAACTTGGTTAGGTGGACATTTTTGCAGTGTATTCAKTTAGCTACTTAAACAGAAAAACACAAATGAGAAACTTTTTTTTCCATGACATGTCTCTTAAAGAATGAAAATCTATTGAGGAATTCATACCAAGCTTATCAACAGGTACGACGAATTCCTCGTCAATCTAAGACCTACCTACCTATATTCTTCACGCAACCGCTTGCCACACCGACACTCACTTTGCGATTAGTCAATTGTGCTGTTAAACCAGTCAAAAGCCAGGATCTCCTGATTAGAATGACCAAAGGAGATCTGACAATCCAGTATCAAATGTCTTTAAAGCAGCCTCATCACATTAACGCCAAACAGGTGGCTCTAAAAGGACGAAGCAGCTTAGCACATTTAGGGGGCCCGTATGAGACTCAGGACCACCTGCAGTTCCCACGACTGCACTTTTCAGTAACGTACGCACTTTACATTTAGACAATTGTGTGACTGGGTGGAGTTTAGTGTTCTCCTGTCATGTACTTGTAGGTTTTTTCCGGGTACTGTTGTTTTCTCCCACAGACCAAAAACATGCATGTTAGTTTGACTGTAACCTCTACTGACCCTACTGTAGATGTCAGTATAAATGATTAAATGTCTTTTTTTGTGTCCCTGTGACGGACTTGTGACCTGTCCAGAGTGTATCCCACCTCTCACACAAGGAGATGGAGGTAGGCTCCTCAAAGGATGGATGCTAAAGCCACAGCAATTACTAAAAAAATGTAAACTGGAACAGCAACAACTACAGTTGAGCAGTGAGATGTTTCTATACGCCTGTATACATGCAAAATGGGGAAAAATATGGGTAATTTACAATCTGCAAATCCTACATAAAAATACCATTGTTTAAACATTTTCACCATTGTTAACTTTGCATTACAAGGTTTTCTAACTTAGTTTTATATTTATTTGCAAGTGCAAATAGCAGCAGTTCCTAAACTCGTTCAAAAAGGTCTCTGCAGCAAAAAATATTAACAATTGTTCATAACCTTCCCACACAACCCCAATTCAGAAGATAGGAGCTTTTTTAAGCTCAGTTTAACAAGGGCAATACTTCTGCCTAATACCTCAGAAAAGAAGGTTCAACAACCTTCAGAACATCCCTGAGAAACCATCACACAGTCCACCCATCCTTAACGAGTTTAAGTATTTCCCTTTTACGAGTTTTTAATGATGTTCTTTTAACAGTTGATTCAGGAAGCAGTTTTAGTGCTTTTAGATCTTTCTGCTGCCTTTGATACCGTTGATCATAACATCTTACTGTCATGATTAGAGCTGCTGGTTGGTATCAAAG